GAATTAAACAACAGAAAAGTTTCTGTGCCTGGCCATCTGCAAATAACACACAATGAAGCTCTTGTCACAAGCGGCACACGGACCTTCCCCCTGTACTAGGGCATTGTATGATGAGTTAAGTGACATGGAGTCACATATAAATTGTAGCCTCAGTGAAATTTCAACTAAAAGAAACCCACCCAAAATGAGATATTTTTCTGAACAACTCCCATGCCTGGAACACCCAGATCATCAGCACTAAGATACAAGTATGTGGTTAGAGAGTAACTTCAATGATCTGGCTTGGCAGACCCACAAAAGGCCTCAACAGATCTGAAAATCTATCTCAATAGATCAGAATTTATCTGCTCCTACGCTACGACTGCAGCTCCTGGCTGTGAAACCACCCTTCTGTGTGTCTGCTCTACCAGTGGCTGCTCAGAGGGCTTGTTTCACAGGATTTGTTGTAAAAAGCCTACATGTTCATACCCTTCCCTTTTAACATGAATCTAGAAGCTCTCATTTATGCACTGCTATGGAAATGGATGTCATGATGGAAGAATTGTGACTTCCAGAACAGAATACAAAGGAGCAGACATCCATCAGTCTGGCCACTCCTGTAATCATCACACAAACAAATTTCTAAGAGTTATACCACAGTTTCAGAGTTCTCAATCAAGTTATTATAGCTGAAGTCACTGAATTGTGTATTGAGTGGGTTATTTAAAAGCACATTCCTAGCTCCAAATACCTGAGCTCAGGAAAATGTCCCTGTTTGCACATAATCCATAAGAAGACCCTGGGGTTTTGTTCTACTTGACTCTAGCCAAAAGCTGGTACCACTAATCACTTCCCTGCTGCTTATGTTAGCAGAAATTTCTGCCCAGGTACAAGTACAAGCAAACCTTGGGCTGTACACAGCACAGCTGGCCTTGGCCTTTCCTGCTCTAAGTCCCTGACACATGCTGCAGTCAGGCCTGAGCCAAAGCCCTTCGACTAAAACAGGGTTTCTTGGGGCTTTCTGAGGCTTGCCTTTGGTGTGCTCCACCTGCCAAGGAAATGCAAATAACATTTGATTCCCAGTACCAGGTAATGCTGCCCTAATACAGATCAGCCTGTGTGCATTCAGAACTACAACAAGTGGGGCTATTTGTCCTCCTCCAAACCTCATTTGCTGGCTTGGGTACTGTATTTCCCTTTTCCTGTCACCCATGCAAGTGTTCACTCTGGTGGCTTAAGTAAAGACATGCTGGAGTAAAGGGCATGAACACCTCTGCATGAACTGCTCACAGTACCCAGGTGAAAAGAGCCCTGAGTTCTCAAGAAGAGGAAGGTAAAGAAATATTAAGGGCAATCCAAAGAAAGATCACACAGTCAGGAATGCTGATGGGGGCCATTCTCCCATGCAAGCACTTAGGTGTGTTTACAGAGGGGGAGACAGTTCTCCTAGGGCAAGAGAGCAAAAGAGGTAGTTCTTAGGGTGTGGATATGAAACCAGCATCTGGCAGCACAGGGAATCTACTCCTGTGTCCCAGCACAGCCTCTGGGAGTAACTGCATCCTTGCTGCACAGCAGGTGTGTTACTCCAGCACCAACACCTCTCTGCACTCTCATCCTTTTCCTCTTCCAGGAAAGAGCTTACAGGACAAAGATGATTAATCTCATTTTGCAGGCACACAAACTGAGGCAACAAGGAAGCTGAAAGGAGTAATAAAACCTCTGCCAGACAGTGGGCCTGGCAGTTGTGCTTCCCCTCCTCCAGAAGGTTTTTGTGCATGGAAATTCACAAGCATGAACATGAAGCACTCCTTCCAAGTGCCAGGAGAGAGGATGCTTGGATTTCTTACTCCAAGATGGGGGAGCAGCCCAAAAACACAGAGCCACAGAGACCCAGCAGTCTTTAGAAGAAGTCTAAGGAAGTTATTGGAGTCAGCTCTACCTGTGATCTTTATCTGAGTCAGCTCTGATCTCTGATCTCCCCACTCAGCCCGGTCTGCGGGGATGCCGTGCGCCACCGCCATGCCCTCTGGGAATGAGCCCCCAGCTGCCAGACAGCAGAGGGCAGGCAGCAGGAACAGGGGCAGGTGTGTCTCTGGCACAGCTGGCCTCGCTCCCTGGCCCAAATCAAACACCAGACCACACAGCACTTGCAGCCATTATGAAAGGAAACAGTGCCCAGGTCAGACTGCAAGGCACGAAGGCTGTAACGTTCAGCTTCTCTCTGTTTTGCTTATTCTCCTCTGCTCAGAAATTCTTAGTGGTTATAAATGTAAAATCTCAAAGTTTTAGCAGCTGTCATTGCAAATGCAGTTCTGCAGATTCACAAGTCACTCTTCCACAAAAATCACAAACTGATAAGTTTGGAAAAAGAAAACAGGTTTTTTCCCTTTCTGAACTTTTACCCAACAGAGCGAACTAAGCCATTGGATTTTCTGCTGGACTTCGCTTTAACTGAATAACATGGCAAGTCCTCATTCCCCTCTCTGAACTCCATCATCTCGAATACACCTTGGAGGGCAACATTTCTGACTGTGCCCTGCCAATCCCTCTGCAAGGTACAGCATGGGAACATGTGATTTTGGGGACCTTATGACTGCTGTGGTCAGGTGCCTTGGGTCAGAGAGGATAGCAAGCCACATAAATCAGTGTACTGCTGTGGGAAAACCTGGCTTAATATTGACTTGCACTGAAGTGTGTCAGGTTGGGGTGAGTGAGACACAGCAGTCTGTGCCTAGAGAGGCAGTGCAGCTGAAAGAGAATGACTTGACTCCAAAAGCTGTATCTGAAGGAGACAAGTGGATCTGTATAAATGGGCCTTCAAGAGATGATCCTAGTAAAAATATGAAATAGCACCTAACAGCTAGAAATACAAACACACAGGCAAGCACTTACGTAGTGATGCAAGAGCTGATGGAAAAATCTAAATGGAAAAATGCGGTTTCTTCAGGCTGAAGTGAGAGAGGAGCAGCTCTTGTCTTTCCTGTGCTAACAGTGCTGAGCTGTGCCTTACAGCATGTCCCAGCTGAGGATCCACAGAGCAGCTCAGCCAGCATGCTTAACCAGATTTTCCACCACACCTTTGGGCTGCAGCACACTGTCATTATATCATGCATGCCTGAAATATCTCAGTAAGGACAGGATAAAGGAACCCAGGGACCTGTTCCTGATTTTGTTCACTGGAGCTAGCAACAGCTTTGCCAGGTTCCTGGGGGCTGTTCTGGAGGGGTGAGGCTGACCAGTCCCCACACACCTCCCTGCTCATGCTCTGTAAGCAAGGCCAGCATCTTGGCAGAGGAGCAGAACCATGACAGGGCAGGAAAGCGTCCATGCTGTTACAGGACACACAGGGCCTTTCCATCCCCGCATTCAGCTTGTGACACAGACAAGCCATGTTTGCAGACAGGTGAGGGAGAGTGCATGCAGGCATCCTGAGATACAGAGGTGCTACTGCATGCAAATCCCTTGCAGACAGATTTCAGATTCAGAAAGAGAAAATAGCCTAAAACCTGGACAACTGCAGAGTCCTTGGCCAACACAGAATCTACTGGGATTGGAAAGTAAAACAGCAACAAAACCCACACATTACTTGCAAGTAACTTCAGCAAAGTGTACCTACCTGCACAGCTCAGGTAGGTCCCAGGGAGCCAAATTCCTGTACACAGACTTGCATTTAAACAGGATTCCACAGCCTGCCTGCTCCATCACCCACACTCCGAATGGCCTCTCACTTCACAACACATTTCAATAACTTAGGAAAAGTTTTGGGTTCTTCCCATTCACGTGCAAAGGGGCTGAGGGTTTCACAGCTCATTCTTTGCCTAGCCCCAGCCCCAATTACTAACTCATCTTATTCTTCCAAGATCTCACACAATCTCTCCAATGGAAAAGCATGAGTCTTTCTATATGATGGGCCCTGTCATTAATATTAGGAGATCCTGGCTTACACTTTCCTCATTCCTTTCTTCTGAGTAAGACCTTCTTTTGCAAATAGACAAGGGAGGGAGAGAAGAAAAGGAAGTCAAACAACTGCTTCACTGCCTCACAATATGTTAATGTTCCCAGAATATTTGTTTGGGGTTAGTTTGAGCCAAATCAAATGGCTTTGCTTAACCAGGACCAAGGCCTTATTTCCACCTGAAGCTGGGCTGACACAGAGCCTTTGATGTCCTTCTTGCAAGACATTCAGACCACTCACAGCTGTCTGTTTGCAGTACTGTCAAAAAAAGCCTGGCTGCATAGTTTAACCCTTAGAGCAGAGGAAGGTCAGGCAGCACCTCAGCAACATTGACACATCCAGGTTAGTACAGCATAAACTGAATGCATTGGCATATACAGATGGAGATTGCTTGTGCACAAAATACCTTCTCCCTCCACTTCCTAAGTTCAAGCCAGCACAAAAGCCCAGCTTCTGGGCTGCACGAGAGCAGCCTTGCACTGGCAGGCAGAGGCATCATTCCTAACTCTGCCCATCTCTGCTGTCTCCACCTCTCCACTACCTTACTCCTTTTCTGTGGGCTGGCCTTACAATGCTTGGTTTTGCTCCACCTCAGATGGACTCGTCAGGTGGCTTCACCAAGACCATACCAACTCTACTTCTGCTTTCCCTGCTTTTCAGTGGCACCCAGCCCTGGCTCAGAGTCTTGTTGTATTTCCTCCACACCCAAACTCATGGCAGGTCCTCACTGTCTCCTGCTGAAACCAAGAGCTCATTACAAACTTCTTCAGTCCTCCTAGCTGGGCTTGGTCCTCTCACTCTCCACATTCCTGGAGTACATCATAAAACCCCAGGGATTTGCACACAGACACAACCACAGGGGAAACAAAGAACAAACAAACATGAGGATGCAGTAGGCTGCAAAGTGTCCAAATGTGAGTGCAGTTAACTACCTGTATTTCCCTGCATCCCCAACAGAGAACAAGGACTTCATGAAATGTTGCCAATATTTGTTAGTAAGAGCATGGGGCCCCTTCTGCAGCCATGCTGAACACTTGTTTCCAATGGGTATCTGTTAAGCACTTACACTGGAGGTGAGCAGAGCTGCCAGATCTTGCTGTCTCTTACAGTGGTGAGACATCAGTGAGTTCACAGGAGGTGATGGCACCAGATCCACAACTGCAGAGCAGCATTTTCAGAAGTCTTCAGCATGGGCCCAACTTTGCCCTGTGGAGATCAATGGGGAAACACCACAATTAGTGACTTCAGGGTGTGTTCTTGGCTTTGGAAAACCAAGTATAGATTTCAGTAGGACTCCTGCTGTCATCCATGAAACTTGGACCAAACGAAGTGGTTACGCTGCACCTGTATTTTGCCTTAAAGGATCCCAAACTATTTATAGTCCCTAGCATTGTACTTTGAGGTGTGTTTGGGTGGGTAAGCAGCAAGGACAAAGCCAGGCACCTAAGTCACCTCACTGCAAACAAAGATATCTTCATTAATTTGCAGAGCAGAGGACAAGCAGGCAGGAACCTGCGTACACATATGTGGATTCCCTGTCCCCACCGGGCGTCCTGGAGAACTCTCATCTCACAGTAGTTATTCTCTTGTGATCTCAGCCAAGTGAAAACACTCCCAAACACAAAACTCCAGGTCAAACAAAATGTTATTTTTTGTTCAGAACAAATAACTCTGCGACTGATTTTTTTTTTTCCATTTACAGGAAATGAAAAATAACATTTAAAACCTGATCATTTAAAAAATAATTACAAGATTTAGTATTGAAAAGACTGAAATTAGACCTTACTGCAACATTTCTTTTTCCCTGAACTAACTTCCCAGATGTGCTAGACAGCCATTGTGATCAGATGAAAGGAAAGCAGCATGGTCCCCAAAAAGCCTCTCACCTGTAATCACAGACCAGCAGCCATGGGTACTTTACTAAACCAGGTACTTTACCAATAACCCTCCTAGGGCAGAATTTCCCCTGCAGTCTCCCCACGTGAGATTATGTGCTAATCATAAAAGACAAACAACGCAAACATTATGCTCTAAAACAAACACAGAAGCCTTCAGATCACACCCATTGTTTCACATACCTGAACCTTCTCACGTGAACTTCGCTGTCTCCCTCAGCCACGTGTGCTGACAGCAGGGAGGTCACTTGGGGTCCTTGCTGCTAACCCTGAGCAGCACAGCACACCAGCTCTGCTCCCTACAGGTCTTGTGGCTGCCATTTCTAATTTCGTGCCATGTCCCAAAACTGGAAAAGAAGAGAAAACCCAAATGGTACCGCTAATATTGTACAGCAAAGGGAAAACCAAACAAGAAAACCCCAAGCTCATCCCTCTCCACCACAGACTTTCCAGAGTGATACCCAACCACCTCTGAGATCCCCCTACCTTCAACATCCAAACAGATGCTCTTGCAGCAAAGGCCATTCTGAGAGGTGCCTTGAATCTCAGACATGCTTCAATATGACAGTGGAAAGAGGGTTTTTTTGTTATTTATTCTAAAGGACTATGAAAAGCAGAAGAGGAAAAGTCACTTCTAGATTAACTGAAGCAAAGTGAAACAGTCAGAGCAGCTAGCGCACAGTAGGTGCCACTGATTCCCAGGGTTTTCCACAGTTTGTTCCTCCTCTTCTGCTGCAAAATGGTGTCTACGCAGAATTTCAGGCGTCTGGATATTTGCCCAGGATTACTAGATGTCCTGCAGGTGAGTCAGGGCACTAGTTCTTCAGAAATCACAGCCATGTCTGCAACACACATACAAACCATCAGCCAAACTATCAGTTTCTGAGTCACTGTGAGAGACAGTACCTGTTTTATTTATGTGGCTCTCATTTGAGTGCTGGAGTCCTTTAGAAGCACAGTACTGAGGCCAAAAGAGAAGCCCAGGATCCCACCCCTAATAGTGCCTGAAAGGAAGGGGAATGGCACAGCACCAGTACAGAGCACTGGACCAAAGGGCCTACACCATTCAGCATCTGCCATTGTGTGTCTCAGGGTCATCCGTACTTTGATCTCTGCAGCTGGTGCCTTTTTCTGGAGTTCTCCTTTCAGTGGCTCTTTGATTTTAAAGCCATGCATATTCCAAGCCAATCTGTACTAAAAATAGGATTCCTTACTAAGAATGGCAGTAGCATTAATCACTTTATGCTCCGTTCTCTTTTCATGCTACACTGCCACGCCTCCAGCTGGAGGAGTGTGCTGCAGTAATCATCCACAACTATGTGCTTCTGTGAGCAAGTTTTGAATCTTTGCCATCCTTTGGAAGCTCCCACCGTTTTTTCTTTCATGTGCTAATAGAGTTCAGTGGCTTATCTCCTTTCGAATCCTTGGGGCACACCTCTTTCAGACTGTACACTGACAACCCAACCAAGTGGGAAAAACAGACAGGAGATACAGCAGTCCCCTTCCTCCCCCTTGCAGCTCGAGCCAAAATGCAGCTCGAGCCAAAATGCAGCTCTCAGCTGAAAGGGATGCTGTTCTTACTTGCAACCAGGAGGAAACAATTTGCTCTACTGGGAAGCTACTGCATCCTTTGGCTTGGACCATCAGCTACACCCCTGCAAGTGCTCATCAGTTACTACCAAGGAGGCTTTCAGGCTTTCCTAGTGGGAGGGACAAATTTCCAGCTCAGTTTCAGCAGATGCTAAGCAGATGCAGGGTATCCCCCCTCCTCCTCAGTATGTCTGGAAAGCATTCAGGACATGGCACATATATCTGGGCAGGTGTAGTTTCATACTCAAACCTCCCTACATGGGCGTTTGAGGATTTTTTTCAGCTTTCTTTTGCATTTTGCACATCACTTCCAAGTGCAAGAACAGGTTTTCTCCTGGCCATCTATGACAGGGGTGCAGCCAGTGCCAGAGCTGACTGTCACTTACTTGCTCTGATAAGGGGTTAAACATATACAGGCAACCTGGGCGTATGTTCATAATGCAGGTGGCAGTGATACTTTAAAGGAGGCACCTTTCTTTGTTCCCTTAATGATTCATTCATTGGGAGTGTGGGAATTAACCTATATAAATTTCTGCTACTAAGTAGATACACCTAGATCCTGAAATAGTGGATGGGTGAGAACCAGTTGCAGAGCCTCGACACATTGTCCTGGTAGCACAGAGAGAAACAAACCCACAGCGGCAGGCTAGGAATAGATGACTGCATGGAATTTCTCAGAGCAAATTCCCTTTACCTCCCATTTTCCAGTGACTCACCAAAAATCCCACAGGGCTGCAGGAGAGCTGACAGAGACCTTCACCTGGGCTCTCTCTTCTCGGGGCTCAACTCAGGCAGCTGGGCCTTTGTAATGAATACAGCTCAGACCAGCAGGCAGCCATACTCTGGTTGCAGCAGCACTGGGAGGAAGGATTGCATCAGGAAGACAGTATGAACAGGGAGGTCGGCTTCCCAAGCCTGGCTCAGTGCCTCCTTTGTACACTGCAGCTCATACCTCATCTGCTGGGAGGTGGAGAAGGAACAGTTCTGCATGGAAGGCAAGTCATTAACGGAGAATATGGCTCTCACCTGGCCAAAAGAAGATAGAAACCTTTCTGGGAGGATACGCAGAGCAGGGTCAAATCTCCAGACAAACTCCTGTACTCCTAGTACTTTCTGATTCTCTTGGAAAAACCTTTAAGCCTCAATAGTCAATCAGTCTAATACTGCTTAGAGGGGAGAGATTAGTGCTGGTTTATGCATTGGAAGTTATAAATTCCATGAGCACCATGGAGCCATGCAGACTGACAGAAGCACGAGGCAATGGTCATTGCCCTGCTGCTGGTTTCCTACAGCTTTGAAAGGAGGTCACAAAGCACTCCTGTTGCAGGTCTTGGTTGCTCAACCTCTTCAAGAAAGGCTCCACAGGGAGAAGTCTCAGACACTGCAAGACACTGCCTACACCTTGCTGGGACCTCCAGCCAAACATCCCTCACCACAACAGCCAAAAGCACACAGCTTTGGATAAAAAGCCAGGAATAACTTAGCATTATCCTGAAGGAGACAGTAAAGAGGTCCTGGAGAGGCATCATCACCCCATTGCAGTTGAGCCAGGACATGAGAGCAGTGCTGTTACACTAACAGGACTCTCAGTGGCCACAAATTAATCACAGCAGTTAGAAACGTGCAAACAGACCTGAGGCTCATGAGATAGCCTGCAAGTGTCAGGTCTTTGTGCCAAGGATCAATTCCCCACTCAGCTGCTCTGATTCTCTGGGACAGCATTGCACACTTCATAGATCTGACAGGGGTGCTGAGAAAAAGAATCATTAGAAGTGTCAAGTATCAACAATCTCAGCTTCTTAGGGAAGAGAAAGCAGAAGGTCAGGGTTCCTTAGGAAACACAGGGCACATGTATTGGGGGGGAACAGCTATACACACACACAGTGTCCACAGAGAGACACAACAAGGAGGAACAGGAGGTACCAGGAGGCTACAATCTAAGCAGGCTGAAACCTTCCCAGCAGAGAGAAAACCACCTCCAGTGCATCTTTCATACCCAGTATCCCCATGCTTGGTGCCCCCAGTGGCAGTGGCCATGCCTCTGTGCTGCAGTGAGCCATGTGAGCCCGGCAGACACGCCACACCAGGTCATGCAGAAGGTGTGTGGGCACAGCAGGCCAATGCAAAGCACTCTCTTGTGTGGCATATCCTGTTTCTCCCCAAGACATGTACAAGCCACGCTCAGCCGTGCTCGTGGGTGATACCATCTGTTTAATCACTGTTCTCTGTGCTACAAAGTCATCCCAGATGCTTTGCATTGGAGTGAGCATTTCCAGCAGTCATTAGCGAGGTAGGGGGGTGAACAAGGAATTGTCAGGCTTCTTTTTGCATAGGTCGTGGCTTTAGTTAAGAGCCTCCCCTCAAGCCCTGCTTCCTGCTCCCCCCTCCCCTGGTAACAGTGAGTCTCCCTGCACCTCACTTTGGGAGCTACTGTACAGGAATATTTCATAAACAGGCCTGAGGGTTTGTCTGCTGCCTGTCCTACTTCCTTCAAAGCACAAGATATCAGCTGGGCTGGAATGTCAGCCCATATCCTGCTCCTGTGCTGCCTAGATGAGAGACGGAAATTTTGCTGCTGTTGCTGACTTCTCACTCATGATCCCTGTTTCCCAGCTTAAGCCACACTACAGCTGGCAGACAGATCCCCCAAATCATGACACTGACTCAAAATTAGGAGAGGAAATAAAGTTAAGTCTTGCTATTTTCTGAAGTCTTTATAATAATATTTAGGTCATACACTGAACTCCATCACCTCCATCCCTACTGGTCCTAGGGGCCATCAATGCCCTTGCTCCAAAGAGGTACATGAAACTTCAGGTTCCCAGGCCATGCCTCCGTGTCCTTTGTGTAAATCAGCATCTCAGGGACTGGCCCCTGAAGGGAGCGCCTCACAATACCAGGCAACTGTACACACTCAGACCTGACGTGCAGAAGGACAAGTAAAAAAAAAAACAAACTTCAAGCTCCCACAAAGCTTCACACCAAAACACTGTTCATATAAAAGACCAAAAGCTACAACTGTTTCCTCACTGACGCACCATGGCTGATAGAAAGGTTCACAGTAAAGTCACGAGCACTGATAACCCCGCACAAAGCACTTGGTCCGAGACAGCCCTTCTGAAAGGCTGGAGTGCTTTCCATAAAATTATCTGCAGCATCAGCTGTTAATCACCACAGACCAATTGATCTAATCTTCTACTAAACAAGGGCCTGGCTCATCCTTGTTTTGATAGATACTAGTCTGTGACAGTCTACAGTTAAGGCAGTATGGCTTAACAGCCCTTTTGTGCTGTTTCACTTATCACTTCATGCTGTCCTCAGCTTGGGAGCCCAGGGAAAGGTTAACCTTCTCTGCTTTTGCCAGGTAACAGCTGCTCTACTTCCACAATGGTCAGATCATCCAGGTTTTGGTGAGGTAAGTAGATGTCCTTGCAGGAGCTCTTATGGGAGGAGCTTTGGAAAACCAGTTAGGCCAGGTGCTGCCAGCCCTGGGAGCATTCCTGCTCCCATGCTGATGCAATGGATCCAATCTCCTGGCGGACCAGCTGGCCGCTTTCCAAAGAGCTCCCTCCAGACTGGCTTGCACACCGAGCCCAGGGGATGGCTGTGATGAAATGTGAGCAAGGGGACAAGAGGCTTTCCACCTTCATTAAAGGTGGGAACACTTGATGAAGATCATGTTGTTATTAATTGGCTCCTCCCAAGAAGGCTGCCTTGTTCTGCTGTGAGTTTACCATTCTGTGGAGCATCTCCCCAGCACCAGCAAGGCCATGGATGTTGAATCATAGTGTTGAACCACAGTGCAATTGCTTGGGATGTCTGAGTGGGATTCGTTTGGAGACTCTTGTGCAACACTGGCGTGAGACAGAAAAGCACAGAGTTATTTCAGTGGCAACACTCACCCTACTCCCACTCAGGATTCAATGTATAACAGCTTTATGTCACATGCTCTGCACCAGAACAGGGACTGAAACACATCCTGAAGATCAAACAGCCTAACAGTGAACACTGTTTAAGCACACACAGAACCAGATAAAACCAGAAATGAGGTTTTAGCAGAGAGAAGGATGCAAACTCAAGCCATGTGCTCAAACAATATTCTCAAGGCACCAACAAGGTCTCAGTTACCTATGGATTCCTTCTGAATGAAAGATCCTTTTGGCACAAGCCAAGATCATCTCAACAAAAAGAATTATGAAATGCTTTAGTCATGTCTTAAAGCAGAATTTTTCAGACCCCAGCAAAAAG